ATATATATATATATATTATTTTATTTTGTTTTATTTTATTTTTTGACATAAGATGATCATGCCTTTTGATGGGGGTGTTTCGTGGTTTCCAAAAGATAGCAGCTGGATTAAACTGATATTAATCACTATTTCGCAGCTAAAAAATTTAAAAGTTTTCCCGGTGCTCGGTTTTTGCCGTTTTTTCTTGGCTCTAACAAAATTTTGCAAATGAGTTAATTATTATTTTAGTGTATTTGGATTAGCTTCTAATCTTATCAATAAACTACCTTGAAGGGCAAAACAATGAATAATTGTTTCAACTTTCACCGCGATTTTAAGGATCAGAATTGATTCTAAAAGTACAAGTTAATTCTTGAAAGTGCATGACATTGTTACAATAGTATTTGAAATTAAGAAAATTCTAAACAAATATTTAAAACTGTAACGAGTCAATTACGTCTATTCAAATTTTTTAAAAAAATATAACTTACGTGATAATATTAACGTATCTTTAATGAACCAAAATGACATAAATAAGTGATTAAATTTACAAAATTAAATAAAATAATTAATTTTTTAATTTTTTTACTCTTTTAATTTTAGAAATCAATTTGATAAGTGTACTGTCTCGGTCAAAATCCGATATGACCCATTTACATAGTTGCATCATCTCGGTCATAATTCGATTTGACCCTCTTACATAGGTGCATCGTCTCGGTCAAAATCTGATCTGACCCTGTATAGGTGTATCATTTTGGTCAGAATTCGATCTGACCCTCTTACATAGGCATTGATCTGATATCAAGGGTAAAATTCTATTTTTAATGACTAAATATCCTTAAATAAAAATCGTCATGAAAATTTTCGCGTCCACGGGGTCCATGAGGCCTATGGATAAGATAGTATAAGACCTAAAACCCTAAAACTTTTAGATCTAGGAAGATAACTTACACTTTACACTCTTGAATGTTATGGCTTAGAAGCTGGACTTAGGAGAAGAACTCTACACGCCCCGTGACTAGAACAATAAGTTATATACTTTCAAGAATGTTAGTTTATTCAAGTTGGGAGGATAGGTTGTGCACAAGTTGGGTATAATTTTATTTTTTTTCACCTTGTCAAATTGGATATGATATGCAAAGTTTTAATTTATTTTGAGGGGAGTGAATGAAAAGAGGTTGAGTATTTCATGCTAGGTCCAGGTGAATAAAGAGCTCAAGCTTTGTAGTTTAATTGAATTGGGCCTAAAGCAGGCCTTGTGAAGCCCACTTCCCATGAATCTCTGTAAAGTGCTTTTGGTGACCCCGTCCAGATACCTTTGAGAAAAACAAAATGTGAAGGTTTCTTCCTTTGGAACGAGCTTTTCGATGATTTCGAGAAAAATGATTTGCCTGCCTTACTTCACATGATTCCCACCGTCAATTCTTAATTCAACATTTCAACTGCACGTCACCGGCACCGCCTTATAAAATATCCTTCATTTTCGGTATATTTAAATAAGCCACGATTAAAAAAAAAAAAAAAGAAAGCAAATTATTTTTTAAGCTGTTTAATATAAAATGAAATAAAAGAAAATTAAAAAAATTATTTCGTAAACGCGACTCACCTAAGCTTATTAACCACCTAAAAAAACCAATTTAACGTTTTAAGTTATGTAAAAAGTGTAAGAAAATAAAAAATATATATCACACATATGTATTGACACATATACCTTTAAATATAAAAATAATAAATGATAATTAATCTTTGAATAAAAAATGTTTTGAAAAAAACTTTATAGAATAATTTTTATACATTTTTTTTTTTACAATATAACGATATATTTTTCTCAGCCGATTGTTTTGAAGCAAACAGACACTATGTCCAATGTTGTACATAGTACAAATTGAGAAAAAAGACGAAGATGAAGGACAACACAATATGGGCAAGAGTAAAGAATAAGAAAAATTACTCCTCCTTCCGTGTAGAACTAGAACCCACTTAGTTTGGTCCTTCCATTTCCTTTTTTAGTAAATAATTATGCGTTTTAAATACGTTAATAGATATTTATTACAGAAAAAATAATATTAAACATAATTGAATGATATTTATTAACACTTGTTTTTAGTTAAAAATTGGAAACCAGTGGGGGACAGAATAATTTGATTTGGTGAATAAAAATGACTTGAAAAAGAAAAAGCAAAACCGCAGTAGAAAAAAAAAAAAAAAAAAAACGTGATAGCGTGGGAAAGGGTGCGCAGTACGCTACAGAGAGGTTTGCAGTTGGTGGCACCACACCACTCGATGTCTCCAGAAGCAAACCCTAGCCAAAAGAAGGAATGAATCCCGCGGATGCATGAATCAAATCGACGATGGCAAATCTTCCGGTGGAAGTAATCACCGAAATCCTCTCCCGTCTGCCGGTGAAGTCGCTCCTCCGGTGCCGCTCCACCTGCAAGTGCTGGCGCTCGCTAATCGACACCACGCACTTCATCCTCTTCCATCTCACCAAGTCCCACACCGCGCTCATTATCCGCCACCGCTCGCACCTCTATTCTCTCGACCCCCAAACCCTAAACTGCCACCACAAGCCTCTGGAATTGACGCACCCTCTCATGTGCTACAGCAACAGCATCAAGGTCCTCGGCTCCTGCAATGGTCTCCTCTGCATCTCCAACGTCGCCGACGACATCGCCCTCTGGAACCCCTCCCTCCGCCGCCACCGCATCCTCCCCGCCGACCGCTTCCACCGCCCGGAGTCCTCCCTCTTCGCCGCCCGCGTCTACGGCTTCGGCTTCGACGCCCTCTCCAACGACTACAAGCTCGTCAGCATCACCTACTTCGTCGACCTCCACAACCGCACCTTCGATTCCCAGGTCCAGCTCTATACCCTAAAATCCGACGCCTGGAGAAACCTCCCCAACATGCCCTACGCGCTCTGCTGCGCGCGTACCATGGGCGTCTTCGTTTCCTCCTCCCTCCACTGGGTCGTCACGCGCAAACTCGAGCCCGACCAGCCCGATTTAGTCGTCGCGTTTGACCTCACGCGCGAGCGCTTCCGTGAAGTCCCGCTTCCGGTTACTGTCACCGGGAATTTCGACATGGAGGTTGCTCTTCTCGGAGGGTGTCTCTCCGTGGTGGAGAACAGGGGAAACGCGTTTGACGTGTGGGTTATGAGGCAGTACGGATTGCGTGACACGTGGGTCAAGCTCTTTACTCTCTCTGACAACGTTCACACGGGATCGGTCAAATTCAAATCTGTGAGGCCCTTGGCTTTTGATCACGAGAGGGATAGGGTTTTGTTTGAGCAGAACCGTAGCAAGCTGTGTTGGTATGATCTTGGAAGTGGTGAAGTGGGGTACGTGCAAATAACAGGGATGGGAAACTCGATTGAAGGCACGGTTTGCGTGGGAAGCCTCGTCCCCCCGAGTTTGCTGTGTCATGATGAGAGATTGGGGCACGAGAACATTAGGAAGAAAAGGTATACAATACCAATGCTCATTCATTGTTGTTTCAATCAAAATCAATCTGTTATCTCTGTTTTCACCTTCAGGAACGGCAAGCTTTTAATTTTACTTTTATTATTGTACTGTGTACTGTGTGGTGTGTGGTTCTGTAAATTCTGTTCTGTCTAGCTGTGAGTGAGTTGTCTAAAAATTTAAACCAAGTTCGCCTCTTATGATTGATAAAGTTAAGTTCGAGTGTCGTATTTGAAGTTTCTGACCAGATGTACCTTTCGTTGTCTAAGTCAATCCGGAGTCAATGTAGGGAGTGTAGGTTCATATAGAGATTAAATCCTAGCATGCATCGGGTGGGAAACGGAATGTTCTCTTTGTTAGAATTAATTTTTCAAGGTTGTACTGTGCATGGACTTTATAAAAAAAAATTCAAGGTAAGCATCTCACTGTTGGTCTCTGTGTTATTATAAAAGAAAAATGATACATCCTCTTGAAGTAATCTCCGAAAGTAATCTCCAAAACGGACTCTGATCTAATGTATTGTTTAATAAATTAAGTATAGGTTTAAATATATTTTTAGTTTTTTAAATTTAAAATTGATTTTTTTCTTTTGTAATTTTAAAAAATCTAATTTTATTCTTAATATTCAAATTTTGTTAGACACTCTATCAAATACTAATAAAATTTGTTTGCTAATATTCACAATTGTGAAAATATTATATTAAATCTAATTGATACTATGTAATTGTTTTAATTTATCATTTTTAGATATATTATTAGTGGTATGAGAAATTGAAACAAAGTTTTTTAAAATTACAAGACTAAAAATAATAATTTTAAGTTTGAGATTTGAGAAATGCAGATTTACTCTAAATGTAATGGAGTAAAAACATATTTAGACCTTGGGTGCTATTTTCGGTGGAAATAGGATCACTCGTTATAAAATGAATACTTGGTCTCCCCAGATGTGTCTTTTAGTCGAATCATTACCGATCTGGATCAGTGGGCCAATTTTATGATTTTTCAACGCTCCTCGTCTTGTCTTTCTGTGATCTTCTTGTGCTAACTCTAGCTTTTTATTTTTCGCAGGGATGACTTCCTCTCTCAGGGATTCAAATTGACGTTGTAAAAGAGCAAAATAAAGAAGAAACGGTATATAGCCGAAACTGGTTTATCCTGTGAGTTGATTTATACCTGGTTCATGGGAAACAGTTGGAATGATCAGTAACGAAACCACTCTTTTTGATGTTGATTTTGGGGACTTTCCCCCTCTTTCTGCCTTGAGTTTGCTCACTTTTTTTTCTCAGGATTGGAGGGGGAACAAAAGTGCTCCAGTTCACAATTTTCAAAACCAAGAAAAACGATGATAAAATAGGTACCGGATGATGCTGCTTCACTCCTATCCTTGCATAATAAGAACTTGTTCATCCCAACAAGGAGAGCTTGCACCATCTCCCGTTTAGTTTGTATTAAGTTGATATACTTATACGCTCCTAGAAACTTGAGTTCAATGTGCCATAGGGGGGCTTATGCTTGTATGTATGTCTTTTAATGGTTGTAGCCACCCTTATACAAACCATTGTAATAGGTAAATCTCACATACAGTTTCATATATAGTTGTCTGTTGGAAGAGAACGTGTTTTGTTCTCTCGATTGAGAAACGATTTGATCGGGACACTGGGATTTCCTGCTTTGGAAGAAATCAATGATGCCGTTTTGCATCTATTTACAGAAAAATATGCAGGTTTTTAAAACTTATACCAGGAGAACCGTCGTTTAACGCTGCAATTATTCCGTAACAAATTTGTAAGAAAAGTAAGAAGGATTTTATGCCTCACAACTCTAGTGACATTTTCTATGTTTTGTCTACTTAACAAATTGAGTTCTCTATGATTGGGAGCGGACAAGTATATTGTAGTCTACGTCCTGCACTCCTTTTTCATAAAATAAATCAATACTACTAGGCCAGTGTGGCTGTGGAATCTTGTTTTTAAGTTTTTTTTTTTTTTTTTTTTTTTTTAACCAC